AGAAATAATTGAGCATTTTTGAGAAAATAATAAAAATTTTCATCATTTTCAAAAAGTATAGGGACGTTGAATATGTTCTCGATGTTTTTTCTTGATAATTAACGCTTTATTTAAAAAAAATCTATGCCAGTATTTGCCAAAAACCGTACATCCTGCCGTCTGGCGAAGCTTCTCCATTAAAACCCGTTCCGCCCCATGTACAAGCACTTACACTGCCCAGAGCGACGTCACACAGCAATAACAGTCCGGTAGGCGCCGTGACGGTCGTGTTACAGTAATTCGCAGACTTGGACACCATGTCGGCAAAGTACACGCCTTTACCGAACATGTAACCGGTGACGGGAGCCTCGGGAGGCGCGATTCTCAACCCCTGCGACAGGATACCAGCGAAGTTGGTCACCCGAGAACCGTGCCACAACAGTTTGTGGTTGTGCAACTTGCGGAAGGGCTTGAATCGCTTGTCCTCGCCCTCCCGCTTGACTATGTAGACTTCCTCGATTTCCAACGTGTAACTGGAATGGGTGGCGGCGTGAGTGTTCGTGACGTACTCTTGGATGATCGTGAACTCCTCGGATTCGCGGTCCAAAACGTCTATTTCCGTGTTGAGTTGCTTGTAGTAGCTGTCTACTGTGTGCTCGGATCCTGATGATTTCATCAAGTTGTAAGCGATCTCCATTTCTGTTAAGCTGTCCAACATCTCCAGTTTTTGCTGAAATTCGATAAATTAAAACAATATTAATAGTTTAAAGAAAAATATATACAATGTGTACGATTTATGCCTGCAAATAACTGATAATTGAAAAAACAAGTTTGTCGATGTTAAACTGACCTTAATAACTTCCGAGTCTCTCAGTATAGGCGGATCGTCTACACCGAACGAATGCGGAATAAACGTATAAAACCTGTTAGTGGCGTCGAGTAGCTGCATCTCGTCGGGATTTCCCGAATCTATCAACTGCTGCAGCTCGCCCAGCACCGCAAAGGCCTTACGTATCTGTGCGCTGCTCAGCTTGCCCAACGGCATCTTCTCCATGTCCAGTTCGAACTCCGCCATGAGCTTCTTCATGGAGTTGATATCGAATATAAGTCTCATCAGGTCCTGCACGGGTTTGGGGAGGTTCGAATCGGCCTCCACGATGTCCAGATTGATCTGGTCCATGTCACCGTAATCCACGTCGATGGGGCACATCCTACCTGGTACCTTGACAAAGAAATTATGCTGCTCCCACGCGTTACCGGTTTTCGCTTCGTAAAACGACCGGAATTGCTTCTTGGCCTCGACGAGAGTCGACATCGGTTCCACTTTGTTGCCTACAAGAGAAATAAAATGGTTTCTTTATCTCTCCGGAAATATGAAATAAAAACGCAAACGATTATTCTAGTACTAATTGCAAGTCAAAAGCAGGACGCATTTCCAAAAACGATCTTGAAAATTGGTCCTTTGACCAAACTTGATGGTGGCTAGCAAAAAAAACCACCTGCACCTTTTAATATATAAGAATGCATTCGAATCCAAAATTAACTGACCTCCGATAGTGGTCCCTATTCTGCCCCAGGATCGGAACAGCCAGTACTGATTGCCCCTGTCGGCGGCCAGCAGCTGCAACTTGTAATAACTATTCTTCTTGCTCTGAATGTCGGTGAGGCCCAGAGTAACGGTGTACTTGTCCTGGCCCTCCAGGTAGACGTGCGCGACATCCTCAAGTCCCGAGTCGGGATCGACAGCAACGCCTCCCTTGAGCTTCAGTTTTACTTTGCTGGGCACGGAACTGGTATACCTGCTGCCCGACTTGGATTTAGAGCTGCTCGTCGAAGGCGCCGATGGTACACGAGTGGTAGGCTGATAAACATTAATAGACTTTATAATAATCGAAATTTTTTAAACTTATTGAGAACCTCTGGAATCGTACTCGACTTACGTACTACAGAAAAACAGGTAAATTGTTGCAATAATTGAAAAACTAAAAAATTTGTGATAAATGACCTTGAAGGAAAACGTTTTGTACTCACGTCTGCACCCCAGTTGCAGAGACTTTTCTTGATGATCAAATCCGGGATTTTGCCCGCATTGTCCTTGGCCTCGTCAAGGAAATCGTCCGGCACGACGTGGATCTGGCACCTTTCCACTTCCAGCATCCTAGCACCCATTTTCTCTACTTCCTCTGCGGTCGAAATCACGGCCATCACAGATTCTTTTATTTTTGTGGTTACTTTGCCGCCCATAGAGGTCACTAGTTTCTTAATTTCATCCTTGCTTTTAGAGGGATGTCCGACAATCACGAATTCCATGTCGTAGAGTGACGGCAATGCCCGCTTCACTTTGGGTCTATGTAAAAAAAAAATATAAACATAAAGCAAAATAATGTTTTTTACAGTACTCACTCAGACTCTTCCTCTTTAACATCCTTTTTCAGAGTCACTGTCGAATGAACTTCTTTAATAACCCTCTTGCAGGGTACATACTTATAGGCCTTCAAGAAATGGTACTTTTCCTTCAACACCTCCGGCACCTTGAAAGCAGTCCTTTTCGGTTCCTTCTCCACATTGGAACACTTTGTCCATTCCGTCAAGTCCCCAGTACACACGTATCCTATTTTGTTGAATTTCAATTGACCCCTTTTACATTTCGGGCAGGGTTTAAGTGCGCCGAATGACATCGCATCTGCAAGTTGGTCCAGCAGCTGAAAAATATATTTTAATTCTTCGTACGGACCTGTTCGTATATATTTTATAACAGTTACCTCGTCTTTTCCTTTACTTGGCTGCTGCTTATTATGTTCCAACAGCTCCTCGAGTTCACTCGGCTTCAATTGGTTCTTTAATTGATCCCTGTAATCAAACATGATTTTATTCTGTCGCCGATATTCTTTCTCGTTAGGATCGTTCTCTTCAAAATCTTCAGTCTTTATTTTCTTCGCATCGGGAACATCTTCTTGCTTTATCGCTCTAAAAGAAAAAAGAAATTATTGCCGATTGATAATTTTTAAGATGGGTACAACTCACGGGATTTCTTTTTTAACCACCGCTTGATCCTCCTTTTTCAGGCTTTTAAACCCGGGCAATTTATCCCCGCACTCAAAAAAGGCTAGTTCTGATCTTAATTGAGCAAAACAAGTGACGTGGTGCCACATGTCTTGACCCCCATATTTCTTGCCCACTTCGGTATCGAAATCTTTTTTTGATATGCGAATCTAAAAATGTTATATAAAACCAATTGATATCAGACCACTTAGATTCAAACCCGACAAGTTCCAAGAAACAAAATGAGAACGTCAGCTTCCTCATCTTTAATTAATGAAAAAGATGAGACTTAAATTTTGAATTTTGAATATCAAATATAAAGTTATAAGAGATAATGAAGGTAATCAAAAATGAAACAAAAAATACCTCATCTTTTAAAATTTTCTGTTCGCAACCCCTACACGTAGCACGGCCAGATTTGGAATATTCTATCTTAAAATCTTTCAATGCAGCATTTTTCAGTGCTGCATCTCCGGCACGCTTCTTGNTGAACCGTATAGAAATCATTTTATATTTTATACGCATTATGGTAATAGTGTTTTTATATTATGTATTAGTCACTCTTTATAATTTCGGCCGCCGAGTATAGGTTGGGATATCATCGGGTTAAATGTTTATAGGATTTAGTTAATTGGATTTTTCAAGGTAAACATGAAAATATTGAACAAAACATCCTAATTCGCATACCAGTAATTAATAAAGTGCCAAATTTTTCGCCCGAATGTGAGGTCAAACTCATTTTCCTCTACAAACTTGTCAAATTGTGCAGGAAAATGTTTTAAACAATATTTGTAGAATTTTGAATGACAAATTAAATGGTGACTTTTTATTCGACCTTCACGAGTTGCAAGGTCAAACCAAGGTCAACTTAATATCAAATAGAATATATAAAAAATAATGTATACATAAATAACAGACATTCAACTAAAATTATTAGTATGATATTGTTAATAATTTTGAAAATAGCACAGGCTAATAATTAAGTTTGATGAAAAGCCATTCTGGAGGCTAGGTCAAATCAAAGTCACCATCTTATTTGTCATTCAAAATCCTACAAATTTTGCTCGAAACATTTTTGTAGTATAATTCAGAGAAAAATGGGCTTGACCTTGAAATAACCTGTAAGGACATAACCAGCAAAATTTTCTGACTATATAATGGATGTAAATTATAGCACCCTATCGAGAATTGCTGGCATAAGGAATAGGGTGTTCTAGTTGACCTTGAAACTTAAGGTTAAGGCCAAATCCAAGGCAACCAGATATTGGTCTCTCAAACTGATCCCACAATTTTTATCTGAAACTTTTTTTGATAGGACTAAATCTTGAAAGGTTATTGGGAATTCGGATATTTTTTGGAAGATCCTATATATCAAGCATCCTGTGGAATTTTCCAAAAGTTGTTCTCTATTTTGTTATAGTTAATTGGAATTACATAGTTCTTTTTATCCTATCAACATCAACGGATAATTTTATAATTTTTAATGTTAAAAAATAACAAAATATTGTATTTTCAATTGAAATATTGGAATACAAACATGGGTTTAAGAGAAACTGGCAGATACTAAACATAATTTTATGAAATAGGTATTTAAGAAAAAAATCTAAAGTTTATTACATATTTAAAAAAGTTAATAGGAATTGGAATATAAAATCACTGTCAGTTTCTTTTAATATTTAATCCAACAAAAACTTTAATTCACACAAACATAATTAAGATTTCTAATAGTTATAAATGAATGAGGCAAGCAAGTGAAAGTAGGATGAGAATTTACGCGTTTCCTAAGATTTTTATACATCTAACATGATGAAATATAATGTTAAGAAACAAACAGAATTTTATTATCGCCTTCAAGACAGCTACCAGAAAATAAACGATTAAGTACTTCAAACACAATTTTTTTGCGATTTCTGTGATTGGTATTAGTAATGACTACAAGAAAAAAAAATATCCCGCATCAAACACGCTGCTTATAGTACCTGAACGGCATTCATAAAATCGGTATAGCTGCCAACGGGCAATATGCGGAACAGGTAGTTAAAGAAATCGTCGGCCTGTTCCTGTTGTTGACCGCCTGCTATTGGTGCTTTAAGTTGCATCTACAATCAGTGAAATACAGGGTGTAAGAGGTATGACCGTCATAACTTAAGCATGAGATAGAATAATCATAAATGAACAAAAAAGTTGTATATTACAGGGGCATAAGGTTAACAGTTTTCGAAATACAGCGAGTATTAATATTGGAGAGTTTCATCACGTGACAACAGCGCTACACAGCTGATGCACACCACGTGTACACGCGACAGACTTGTCCTACGGAAAAAATGTAAACAACTATTGTGAAACATTTAGTAAATTTCAAGACAATTGTTTTCCAGTTTTCAAATAAATAAAATAAAATGTATCGATTTTGTAGTACGAAGATATAATTGTGCTTAAATTTTAGCTCAAATTTTAGAAATTATGAATCTCTTAAAACAGGAACTTAACTTTTAATCAATTTATGAATTTGAAAAATATGTAATTAAAGTACCCAAATATTCACGTTGTCCAAATAATCATAAGTACTAAAAATAATTTAGGGACTTTCCAAAAAGCAAAGTCAGTAATTTTTAAATGCATAGGTATAAAACAAACTACAACATATTCTCAAAATGTCCACCACCATTTTCGATGCACGCACGACACCTTAGAATCCAATTTCCATGCACTCGCTGGAAAATACCTCAAGAAAAGGAAATAGTGGTACGCAAAAAACACTCCAACACCGTCCAATTCCAGATACCAACAACAACTAACTTGCGTATTGCTGGACAGTTTAGTATTACCTCATGTTACACGTCGCGCCATTGTCACATTGCTTGATATGAATTTTATCGAATTTTAAATTTATTACGCTAATTATTTTTTAGAATTAAGCTTAAAGTTCAAAAAAGTGATTTTATGGTATTCTATGCACGCAGTTATGTCAATATTCCTTAATTAATTGAGCTTTTTGTATATTAAGTTGGACTGATAATTTTTTTTCTCGCAAATGGTTGAGTTTAGGACCCATGTCATATAAAGCTTTTTTGTTTATTTTAATGTATTCTATCGTTTGTTAAAATTAAGGCAGTCAAACTTCTAACACCCTGCATGCAAATATACATAGGGCGTAACTAAATATGTGTTACAAGCTTTCACACCGTGTAGACCTCGTAAAAATAGTAAAGGTAGAAAGAACATGCCCGCAACTAACGCCACCATCTACTCTACAAAAAGCGGAAAAAATCGGGAATAAAAACACACCTTACTTACCAATTCCTGCTGCTCTGGATGATATTTACCGTACATGCTCTTTGGGCGAGAAGGCCGAGAACCTTCGCCGGATTTTATCATCGTAGGAACCATCGCGATCTCCTTGTAGAAATCGGGATGTTTCGTATTAATATACGCTAGCTCGATAGCTACCAAGTTCTCGACCATCACGTTGGTGGTGGGCAGCCGGCGCCTCAAGAGTTGAGTCACCACATCCACGATTTTCTCGTAGAGTTTCGGGAAGCGCAACATTTCTTGCTGCACTTCGCTACCGCAATGCTACGAGAGAAGACACGGTTAAAATGTGTTAAAAACCCAGGAAGAAAATTTCTTACCTGAATAATCCTTTGCATTTCTTCGTGTATCAATTCTACGCACCTTAGAGACGGCTCTTCTAACCTTCTAATTTGTCGCTTGACTAGTAGTTCAAATGACACTTCTGGCACAAACAGTGCTGGACGTGGACCATTTGCGTTTCTGCGATACAATAAAATTTAGACCAAGAAATAATAGTGAAAAATCATCGAGAAATCGTGAAAATTACTGCGTGATTTTATTGTTGCAAAGCCTTGGGAATGATAATACAAAAGGCGTCTCATCTCGTAGCTCATGAAAAAAATATAGCGTCATTGTTTTTTATTAACAAATAGGTCAAAAATTTGTCATTTTTCCCAAAATGTGAGTTTTTATATTCTTAAGAGATGTGCAAAAGATGGGCTCGATCGGTCAAATAGTTTTTGCAAAATTCCATTTATTTATCCCATTTTTGCAAAAAGGCCCATTTTCAAATGACTATTCCCGGGGCAGGGTTATGACTAAAACATTTTTTTTCGAGCTCATTTTCTTCGAAGGGACACTAAGTATCCTCTAGTTAAAAAAAATTAAATTTTTTTTCAAATTTGGTTGTAAAAAAATTGCTAACTCCGGACCTATTGGTCACAGAAAAATTTTTTTTCAATTTGTAGTTCTTTTACGAGCTTTCGAATGGTGTAAACTTCTTTCAAAAGTTAAAAACCGCAGAGTTATTTTATTTGTTTATTAGGGAAAAAAGAGTTTTTCATTTGTTAACAATTATATACAACTAAATTTGAAAAAAAAATAATTTTTTTTAACTAGAGGATACTTGGTGTCCCTTCGAAGAAAATGAGCCCAAAAAGAATGTTCTAGTCATAACCCTGCCCCCTGAATAGTCATTCGAAAATTGGCCTTTTTTTTGCAAAAATGGGATAAATAAATGGAATTTTGCAAAAACTATTTGACTGATCGAGCCCATCTTTTGCACATCTCTTAAGGATATAAAAACTCACATTTTGGGAAAGTTTCGTAAGATTTTATTAATTATTTAAAAAGTTATTAACAATTAAAGAAAAAGCACTTTTTCCGTTTAATTTTGCAATAAATTTTTTGTTTATAAAGCAATTTTAACTTATAAAGTCTCATTTTAAAGACGAGTTTCTCTAAATCAAATCGTCTTTGAACATTTTTTGCTAAGATTAATAGTATTTTTACAATAATGCGTAGAACGAAAAATGACGAATTTTGATAAAAAACAATGACGCTATACTTTTTCATGACCCACAAGAAGAGACGCCTCTTGTATTATCATTACCAAGACTTTCCAACAATAAAATCACACCCAGTAATTAATAAATTTCAAAATATTTCCTCTCCTGATCTAATTAGGCACCGTAAAAATATTACAAGGTAATTTTTTACCTTATGGCTGTAAGAATATCCATTTTACTCAAACCGGCTAAAGGGTGAATGGAATCGAGCGTTCTGCCGAACGTTTCATGGAAAATATAGCATATTCTAGCTCCGCCGCACAATTCCGTGGTCTCGATATTCCTAGCCGTGCCTTCGATGGTCGAGCAGTACGCTGACGCGAATTTAGTAATTATTTGTAACAACGTTTTACTCTTATCAGAAATATCTTCCCCATAGGAGTTAAGGAGCGACTGGTACTGAGATATCATTAGGTTGACCCTCGTCTAAAATACAATTTTCACGTTTTATAAAGCTAAAATTTATAAAAAGCCCACTTACCTTCAAATCAGGTAAGCAGTCTCTTATATGGTGCATGAGTAACCTATTTAAAGTTTTTGCAAGGTAAGGCGTGCCGTTTCTAGCAGCTAAAGTGGGATATTTGCTTTGTAAAAACGTAGCTTCGTCTTTAAGCGAGTCCTTAATACTTTTGTTGTTCATAATATCCTGTTGCGACCTATTTACAACACCGATTATACCCAGTTTCACAGGTATGACTCTACCACATAAAATATCAATTGCGTCAGTTCCTGCAAAGGAAATCCTTATTTTTTTTTTGGTAAACGGAACTAAACGACCGAATTTGATCTGTAAATCACGATTCCCTTACCTGCGTCCATTAAATCTAATTTGGTGACTACAGCTAATGTTCTGCGACCGTCAGGGTCCACATCTTTGGCGATAGCTAAGCTTTCCGAAGTTGCCATGTCGGTGTTGGCCGTTANCTAGAGGATACTTGGTGTCCTTTCGAAGAAAATGAGCCCAAAAAGAATGTTCTAGTCATAACCCTGCCCCCTGAATAGTCATTCGAAAATTGGCCTTTTTTTGCAAAAATGTGATAAATAAATGGAATTTTGCAAAAACTATTTGACTGATCGAGCCCATCTTTTGCACATCTCTTAAGGATATAAAAACTCGTAAGATTTTATTAATTATTTAAAAAGTTATTAACAATTAAAAAAAAAGCACTTTTTCCGTTTAATTTTGCAATAAATTTTTTGTTTATAAAGCAATTTTAACTTATAAAGTCTCATTTTAAAGACGAGTTTCTCTAAATCAAATCGTCTTAGAACATTTTTTGCTAAGATTAATAGTATTTTTACAATAATGCGTAGAACGAAAAATGACGAATTTTGATAAAAAACAATGACGCTATACTTTTTCATGACCCACAAGAAGAGACGCCTCTTGTATTATCATTACCAAGACTTTCCAACAATAAAATCACGCCCAGTAATTAATAAATTTCAAAATATTTCCTCTCCTGATTTAATTAGGCACCATAAAAATATTACAAGGTAATTTTTTACCTTATGGCTGTAAGAATATCCATTTTACTCAAACCGGCTAAAGGGTGAATGGAATCGAGCGTTCTGCCGAACGTTTCATGGAAAATATAGCATATTCTAGCTCCGCCGCACAATTCCGTGGTCTCGATATTCCTAGCCGTGCCTTCGATGGTCGAGCAGTACGCTGACGCGAATTTAGTAATTATTTGTAACAACGTTTTACTCTTATCAGAAATATCTTCCCCATAGGAGTTAAGGAGCGACTGGTACTGAGATATCATTAGGTTGACCCTCGTCTAAAATACAATTTTCACGTTTTATAAAGCTAAAATTTATAAAAAGCCCACTTACCTTCAAATCAGGTAAGCAGTCTCTTATATGGTGCATGAGTAACCTATTTAAAGTTTTTGCAAGGTAAGGCGTGCCGTTTCTAGCAGCTAAAGTGGGATATTTGCTTTGTAAAAACGTAGCTTCGTCTTTAAGCGAGTCCTTAATACTTTTGTTGTTCATAATATCCTGTTGCGACCTATTTACAACACCGATTATACCCAGTTTCACAGGTATGACTCTACCACATAAAATATCAATTGCGTCAGTTCCTGCAAAGGAAATCCTTATTTTTTTTTGGTAAACGGAACTAAACGACCGAATTTGATCTGTAAATCACGATTCCCTTACCTGCGTCCATTAAATCTAATTTGGTGACTACAGCTAATGTTCTGCGACCGTCAGGGTCCACATCTTTGGCGATAGCTAAGCTTTCCGAAGTTGCCATGTCGGTGTTGGCCGTTACTACAGCTAGGATTATCGAGTTAGGGTTTGCGATATATTTTAAAACTAGTTCTCGAATTTGTTGTTCTATGTCTGGAGGTTGATCGCCCACAGGTACCTGAAATGTGTTGCCGATAAAGCAAAGGAAAATCTTTGGATTTTTCTTCGCTTTACCTTGGTGATTCCAGGTAAATCAACCAAAGTCAAATTGACTACTTTCGTGGAATAAATTTTCAAGTTAATAGGTTCCGAGCAAATCCCCTTATTAGTTCCAGCCATACGGGCCGTTTCTTCTTCGATTTCAACTCTAATGTCATCGAAATCCCTGTATATTTTATCCTTTGCATGTAAAAAGACACCCCACTCTTCAATATCAACAGTTCCTGAAAATACAGGATACATAATAGAATAATTTAACAATATTTACAAGCCTTGATAATATAAATAAATATACTTTATTGCAGACAATTTAATACTTAAATATGTAGCAGTAAATTATTATAATGTGTCGGCCTTCAATTGTATGTATTAAGAAATATACAGGGTGTTTGGTAAGTCGATGCATTCTTTGCAGGAGGTTATAGTATAAGCGATTTGTGATATATTTCCTTAATATACCATATTCCGAAAACGCTTAGTTTCCGATCTACAGGCTGTTAGTTTTAATTAAAAAATGCAAATTTATAAATATTTTGGAAACCGCTCAGAATATTTTAATGAAATTTTACGGGCTTTGACAGTTAACAACAATAGACGTTTTACGATAAAAATATTCTTTTTCAGTTTCACCAGTGGCGTGCGCACATATTGTCAAAGAAAAAATGATACAGTACTTATTTTTCTTAAAATAAAAATTATTTTTTAATTTGAATCTTGTTCAATTTGGAAGAGAAAAGGCATCTCGACTGTTTTTCTTATGACGTATCGTTTTCGAGTAAAAAAAATAAAATCGATTTATTGCATGGCGTAATTCGGTTTCAATAATCTGAAAAATATCAAAAATTATGCACTTAACTGCTTCACACTCAAACACTCAAAGTGACAACTATTATTAATTCTGTCAAACAATAACAAAAACGAGTGCACAGTCAACTTGCTAATTTCTGTTTAGATAGTCAATAACAGTGAATCTAAAAACTGATAAAATGTTTATATACTGAAGTTAACTGTGAGAAATAATAATTTTTTGTAAGAAAATTGCTACAAAAAAAATTGAATGCATAATTTCTGCTATTTTTCAAATTATTGAAACCACATTACGCCATGCAATAAATCGATTTTATTTTTTTAGTCGAAAACGGTGCATCATAAGAAAAACAGTTGAGATACCTTTTCTCTTCCAAATTGAACAAGGAATTGAAAAATAATTTTTATTTTAAGAAAAATCAGTGTTGTATCATTTTTTTCATTAAAAATGTCTAAAGACGTGCCTGTGCGCACGCCACTGGTGAAACTAAAAACAATATTTTTATCGTAAAACATGTATTGTTGTTAATTATCAAAGCTTGTAAAATTTCATTAAAATATTCTGAGCGGTTTTCGCAATATTTATAAATTTGCATTTTTTATTAAAACTTTATCACCCTGTAGATCGGAAACTAAGCGTTTTCGGAATATGGTATATTAAGGAAATATATCACATATCGCTTGTACTATAACCTCCTGCAAGGAATGCATCGACTAACCAAACAACCTGTATACATATATATAGGTACCTAGATTCTGTCGATAAAAAAAATATTCTTAATTTTATGAACATATTTAATTTTGTCCAGTGTAACCATATTTATAATAGCATCGGAAGATTATTAGATTTAGTTATAAGTACTATCACCTGTGAAGTTATTAGAGATAACGTTCGTCTTGTCTGTGAAGATGCTTATCATCCCCCTTTAATAATCAATTTACCCCAATTATCTTCTGTCAATCCTAACTTTTCAATTAATATAAACAGCAAAAAGTATAACTTTAAAAAAGCCAATTTTCTATCCCTTTAAAATTCCCTGTTTGAAACTGACTGGAGTTTTTTAGATGAAATAAACAACATTGATATGTTTTATGATCGGCTTTACAATGCTAATGTACCTTGCATAAAACTTTTAAACATCCACCGTGGTTTCACTCAAATAGGTAATTCACTATATCACTGAATATGAGTGGTAATAAGCTGTTACATACATTTTTTTTGCTCAATTCTTGATTTTCTGGAAGTTAAAAGCACAAAAAACAATCAAAATGTGCTGTAATTAATATTTTGAAATTTTGGTTTTGAAATTACTATTGTGTCAGAACATCCACAAATTATTATTTTAAAACTAATTTAATTTTTCAATAAGTACTTACTTATATGTTATACTTACCTTAAAAAAAATTAGATAACACATACCTACAGAACAATCCATTCTTATCGTTGTTATTATTTATTTCAAATCATGTTTTGTTCTTTGGCCAGAAAATTTATCAGTTATGGTTATGATTATCATAATTGTATTCTGTGGACTAACTAACAATAATATATTAATTAATTCGAAATATCACAGACAATGCTTTGTTAACAGTTTATTACTGTATGCATAACTGTAGGTATTAGTCCACTGAATGACTTGACTAACCATATACTTTTTAAATAATATCTTTATTATAAGAACACCTACGTCTAAAATTTGATTTATTTTACTGGAACTTTTTTCCATATTATTTTCCTCAAGTAGGTAATCTTTTACAAAACTACTATCATTATTATAATAGGGTTTCACATTTTTTTGGACAAGAATTTCAAGATTATAACAAAATTGAAAAACAATCTAACCATTGTAGAATTAAATTGTTATATATATATTGTGTTCTTGGTAATTCCTTTTGTGTTAAATATTCAAATGCAATTAAAAGAAAGCAAAATTATATAAGTCAAGTTCTCTATTTACTAGTTTTCTAAGTTTTGAATGCATATTAAAATATATTTAGTAGACAAATATCTTAATGAAACTTTATGGAATTTATAGCATGTTTAAAAAATTTTATGATATTAAAATATTTAATTTTTTCCCACAAAATGTTCTTTTACAAAACTTTTTTCGTTTTCTGTTCTAATCAATTCAAAAGTAAATTCTCAAGATAAATTAATAAATAAATAATAAAAACTTATGGAATTTATAGCATGTTTAAAAAATTTTATGATATTAAAATATTTAATTTTTTCCCACAAAATGTTCTTTTACAAAACTTTTTTCGTGTTCTGTTCTAATCAATTCAAAAGTAAATTCTCAAGATAAATTAATAAATAAATAATAAAAACTTATTTATATAATGAAAAATGTGATACTTAGATACAAAGAAAGCTACTACAAACTACTATATTTATAAGAGAAATTAAAAGGATAAAAAACACGCACAAATAATTAGATTATCTGAAAGATAGAAGATTTCTGATAAAAGTATTAAGAATAGAAGAGAACATAAATACTTATATCGTCACATTTCACTTCTGCAAAAAAACTTAAATTGTTGATTATTAATTAATTTCTTTTTGAACCTGAACGAGGAACTTTATATTGTTAATGAAAAACAACACCTAACTACTCTGATTTATAACATCCTAATCCCTTACTGTAACATGTTATAAAAACTAATGGTGTATTACACTTTATACTTGAATATTTTTGTTACTCACCATCTCTAGCATTGCGATGTTCTTTATCATCCTTTGGGCAGTAAACCAGCTGCAAAATTAAGGGCCGTCGGGTAACAATTCCGGTGCCCCTGGGCAAGAACGATTTACCCACTAAACTTTCAATCACAGAACTCTTCCCCGAACTCTAAAATTAAACTAAGAAATTAGGTTATGTCATACATAATGTAAGAGACGAGGTTATTTACCTGAGATCCTAAAACTATGATTTGTGGTAAGTGGATCGAATCGGATCCTACAGTGTTGAATACATCTTGCAGTTTGTTAATTACTGGAATTAGGGCCTCCATTTTTTTGTTTTACCACCGATCGACTTCCAAAAATATCGATTAGGTACTTCCCTGTTTTCTTACCCTCTTTGTTCTGCGTTTCGCGTCAATATATTTTAATACACAAATACATTATAAAAATAGGAGTCATCAATTGTGTGTAATTGAAATAAAGTAAAATCCGTTGGTATTCAATCTAAGTACACAAGTCAGACAGACTTGACAGAAGACAGATTTACTTTAGTTAGTTTAGTTAGACTTACACAGCTGAAGTTGGTAGTACGGTTACATTGCCTGGCTGTTTACATTGGCTACACTGAACTTTAAAGGGGGCATTTTTCAAATAGGTATATATTTGTAATCTATTTCCGTATAATTCTATTTATGTTTTTATGAACGAAGATTAATTATATAGACGCAGTTGACCGTTCATAAACGCAGAAAATTGATAAATAAATATACAGTATAAAAATATAAGTGTGATCTAATCAATAATAGGAAACTGGAAATGTAATATGAAATACCTACCAAATATTCTTTCATGATATTTCACAGACGTGTTAGAAAATAGGTAGTTAACTTTAAAATTAATCCGGGTTTGTCGGGCTCTAACAAGAAATACACACTTATCGTTTGGTTGGTTGCCTACAATCCAAAAGGAGTAAAGTATATAAAAATTAGATTTATTTATAATATAATTGATATCATAACTTATAATATAAATGATATATTTACTTACTTTTTATTATTTTCAACTCGGCACTGAATATTTTTTCTAATTTTGTAGGCATATATACCTACCTATTAGTCCTCAAAATATGACAGCTCAAAAATATTGGAATAAGGAATAAAGTCTTTATTATTAAGTACTACCACATTATTATAATCAGGATGATCAGTGTACATAAATTAAACAAACAACATATTCCTAATGAATGAGGTGTCCCTAAAGTAAATTAAAGATTGATTAACAATCAACAACGTTTATCTATTCAAACCATGTTTATAATGAGATAAACCAGTTTCTGGGCAACCTCTATTACAGTCGCAAATAACGAGGCAATGTCCTTTCGTGTTTTAAACAATACTATTTCTTTCTATAGAAAAAAATGTGATACTAAGAAATTGTTAAGATATTCCAGTTCGGCTACTCATACGCTCAAAATCGCTGAAAGAATTAAACAAAAAAGAAATGAAGCACTACTAGGAGGAGGGCAAAAGCGTATTGATACACAACACAAAAAGGTAAGTACAAAAATCAGATACCTAGTTCACCTTCAACTTTCCTACCAATGTTCTGCTAGGATTGGGAAATGGGTTATACCTAGGCACTTTTAATATAATTCTGGTCTTTTTTTTATTAATTTTTATTTATAAATTAAGAAATCACATTAAATTCCGCAGTATAAAGTTGGAAGGTCAAAGATAAGGATGATTAAATATTACTTCACGATCCACGACGTATAGTATAATTATGCCAATAAATTAAGAAGTCTGATTGATCTAAAACAGACAAACAATAAATTCTGCGATTTTTGTATTTCTTATCTAGAAAATTTTTATTTAGTTAATTTATTGGTATGTGGAGCTATTTACATCAATTCCGTAAGTTAGATAACTCCTAATACACCTACGTGTACAGTTAGTTGCCTACAAAATGTAGAAAAATATTGGCATTGCAATATTTTGTATATTAATCTTGCAAAACCAATAGTTAGCACCACCGTCATTACCACTTGGATTTTATGAATGAAATGAATACGATATTATGTCTATGTAGTTAAATTTTAGCGAAACAAAATAAATATAAAATGATTAAAGTGTGCCCCTTAGTCAAAGTACATATTGCAAATTCAATTATAAAATAAACCAAAGTTACCGGTAAAGATGTATTAGATGTGAGATCTTATACAGAAAATATTTTTAATTTTCGAACGATATTTGTTAAAATCTTTAACGTATGTTTTAAGGGAAAACTAACAGCAAGAGAAAGGATAACATTATTTTGTGACCATGGAAGTTTTGTGGAATACGACATGTTCGTTGAACACACCTGCACCGATTTTGGAATGGACAAACAAAAGGTAAATTAGATACTTTATAATAAGGTATACTTTATAATAAGATATGTTAGATACTTTATAATAATCTTCTAGTTTAGAAACAAAACATTAATTTTTAATTGACCATGTTGCAGAAAATAACTACTCTGCGGAAGAATGCCTCGACTAGTATTGAACTATACCCGCAATATTAATAAAAGCCAATGCTTACTAACAATAAGTATTGGGGGATAAATCAGTGCTGGTTGGGGCATTAATTCGCAGTAGTTGTTTCCTTATCACATTTTAAAATTATTTTCTCCTTCATACTGACAACACAGGTCTTATTTCATTGTACCTATGAAATAGTAGGTCGCTCTCTGCCAGTTGGCCACATTGAAGGCCAGGGCATTGAATATCAATGACCGTTCATAGATGTAACACTTTGTTATATCTTATCTGTTATCTTTAATTTTGTATTTTCGCTAGTTTCCAGGAGATTCCGTGATAACTGGTCACGGTCTAGTCAATGGGAGACCAGTGTACGTCTTCAGTCAAGACTTTACTGTTTTTGGAGGCAGCCTTTCCAGCGCCCATGCCTGGAAGATCTGCAAAATCATGGACCAAGCTATATTGGTCGGAGCTCCTGTTGTTGGCCTGAATGATTCTGGTGGCGCTAGAATACAAGAGGGAGTGGCTTCTTTAGCTGGATACGCTGATATTTTTCAGAGGAACGTACTGGCTTCAGGAGTTGTGCCACAGGCAAGTGCAGTGGGAAAGTTGTTGTTTCATTTATCGGCAAAGAAACAACTATGTAAAAAAGAAACATTTTTTTCATATATTCATCTCTGGAAATGAATCTAGCGGGGTCGCACTTATTATCTACGATCTTGATTATCAAAATATAAACCACCAAAGATCGAGTATAAATCTTCTGCTGATACTTTGTTTTAACGCAAATTTTGACGTAAGAGCTCGTTGTTGCTTTAATGAGTTCTCTCCTCCTGTCCCGTCTAGATCAGCACTTTTTCTATCTAAAAAGGGATCAGAAACAGACATTTTCTAGAGCGGCAGCACAAAAAGATGTTCATTGTGCATTGCTATACACTAGGCAATTTTGAAAATTTGTAGCTGTGCCTAAGTCAAAATATGTTACGAAAGCATTACCGTGTTGCGTTTGTCTAATGTAAGACCGTATGTAGCTTTATCTAACTGAATAGTCTTTCTATAAGCAAGTCGGCATATAAAAGTTTCCTTTTATTATACATCTACCCATTTTTTTCATCCTGCTACTTTCACTTTCATTGGATCCCTATTTCAGATATCACTTATAATGGGACCATGCGCTGGTGGAGCGGTATACTCTCCGGCTATTACCGACTTCACTTTTATGGTTGAAGATACATCATACCTTTTTATTACGGGACCCGAAGTTGTAAAGGTATGTATATAGGACGTAAGTTTATTGCTCCTTTTTATATTACTTCATCATTTTTAAACGTATGAAGCATTTGGTAAGATTTGCCTAATATTTTATTTGTCATGTGTATATTTCGGCACCAATAAATAAAACAAACAATGGTTATGCCAAGCACTCGCATAAATTCCCATTCAACCGCCATTTTTCCATTATGGCTGTTTCATAATCCTGTCAAAAACTGAATTAATATTTTTCTAGCAATTAAATTTTTTGCTCTCCAAGGAAATTTGAACTTTTATCGATAACATAGAAACAAGTATACAGGGTGATTCAGTCATAATGTCATTAATTTTAAGAGCAGATAGAGAAAAATGAGTATAATACGATGGAGTGATTAAAAAAAAATTAAATGCATATTTAAGCTGAAAAAAAAATTTTCAAATCATTATTTAACCCCCTTTTCAGGCTGTTACTGACCGGCTGACGTCAGCCGGCTACGATATGAACAAAGCGACCTAGATGCAATGTTGCCATATTTATATATTTTCGCACATATAAAGACAATAAATAAACGGTTTGCTCACGTCAGCCAATAATAATTTAAAATGCTATAAATTATTTTTTTATAATTATGCAATCAACATATTAAATTGTTATTGTTACCCAGCAAGAACCTCGAGGAGGTCTGAGCATGACTTGCCAAAAATCATTTTTTATTAACATTATAGTGATAATTTTTTAATTTGCTGTAAGCCTTCTACTAAAAATTGAAAGTAACGCGGCCCATTCAGATGTACAGGTAAAAAATGCGGCCCAATTAAACGATCGCCATATACTCCTGTTCATACATTGACACCCAACCTCCTCTGAAAGCTAAACCGATGAGTAGTGTGCGGGTGACCAAATGTGACTATTATGGCTGCAAAAAAATTAGCTCCGTTTCACTCTATATAAAATTTAATATTGAAATTACAAAACCCCAAGAGTTCAAATAATTTAAATTTCATTTCATAACCATTTCAATATCATTATAGAAATAATGACATAAAAAACCAACACTCACTAGATAAATTATAAAGAGAGGGTGAAATGTAATGTAGTATTTAAATATTGACTGTAAGTAATAGAAGATAAAAATACAGTCGGACGGAGACAAATAAACAACTTCGTCCGTCCGTTTCCGACCTAGGTCAACCTTTGTCGAGTTCAATAATCTTCTAATTTGCACGTGTGCACTTTAGTGTCGTCGCAAAAAGTTGTCGGTGTTTTATCAAAGGAAAATCGTGTCATCAATGAATAGGGATGATTGTTTTCGAATGTACGGTTATTACAATTTATCATTTTTAATATTATTAACGTTTTGACGTTTTATAATTTATTATGTTAAATAATACACAGTTTTAGTATTTCAGTTTATTATTCAATATGCAGTTGCGTATAACCAAAGTTTACATAATAAATGTAAACTTNCGGTAAAGTTGCTTTAATGAGCTCTCTCCTCCTGTCCCGTCTAGATCAGCACTTTTTCTATCTAAAAAGGGATCAGAAACAGACATTTTCTAGAGCGGCAGCACAAAAAGATGTTCATTGTGCATTGCTATACACTAGGCAATTTTGAAAATTTGTAGCTGTGCCTAAGTCAAAATATGTTACGAAAGCATTACCGTGTTGCGTTTGTCTAATGTAAGACCCTATGTAGCTTTATCTAACTGAATAAGCTATAAGCAAGTCGGCATATAAAAGTTTCGTTTTATTATACATCTACCCATTTTTTTCATCCTGCTACTTTCACTTTCATTGGATCCCTATTTTAGATATCACTTATAATGGGACCATGCGCTGGTGGAGCAGTATACTCTCCGGCTATTACCGACTTCACTTTTATGGTTGAAGATACATCATACCTTTTTATTACGGGACCCGAAGTTGTAAAGGTATGTATATAGGACGTAAGTTTATTGCTCCTTTTTATATTACTTCATCATTTTTAAACGTATGAAGCATTTGGTAAGATTTGCCTAATATTTTATTTGTCATGTGTATATTTCGGCACCAATAAATAAAACAAACAATGGTTATGTCAAGTACTCCCATAAATTACAATTCAATCGTTATTTTTCCAATATGGCTGTTTCATGATCTTGTCAAAAATTGAATGAATATTTTTCTAGCAACTAAATTTTGTGATCTCCAAGGAAATTTTAACTTTTATCGACTACATATGCGCAAGTATATATACGAAACTTTTTCAGTCTGTTACCAATGAAGACGTGAGTCAGCAGGAACTGGGTGGTGCCAAAACTCACACCTCAATTTCTGGGGTGGCTCACAACTCGTTCAATAACGATGTAGATGCGCTGTTGCAGCTTAGACATTTCATGGGATTTCTTCCGCAATCTAATCAGTTCCCTACGCCTGTTAGGATGTGTGACGATCCATGGTAAATCAAGGTCGTACAAGAAGTGTGTCATGCAAACTGAATTTCGAAATTTTTGCCTCGACTATTTCTGAAGAAAAAAAGCCAAATACACAGCCACACAAAAAAAGTTGTCTGTACTTTTCATGCGACATATGTTATCCGTAGTATTTTTGCCTCCTGATCACGAATTCGGTGTCAGAAAAAACAGGTCAAAAATAGCAAAAATTCACGAAAAAGTGCTAGGAGAAATACAACTTTTTTTTTCTATATTCAAATGTTCATTTATATGGTTATTAAGATCCAGCCTAATGTGAATCCGTCAAAATTGATGGTTCTTTTTCTAACTTAAAAAAAAACGGGTCAATTAAGGTCAGATATCACAAATTTTCAAAAAATAACAGATTCGCCCCAAATTTGGTATATGAGGATTTTCAAGGTCGCTGATCACTGATGCGAGCTCAATTTTGAAAAATTCAAGATGACGGATCCAAGATGGGTGACCAAATTTTCAAAAAATAACAAATTCGCGCTAAATTTATTATAAGAGGCTTTTCGGGGTCGTACATCACGAATTCGAGGTCAATTTTGAAAACTTCAAGATGGCGGCCGACCAAATTTTAAAAAAATAACAGATTCGCGCCGAATTTGATATACAGAGGGTTTCGAGAATACGAATATTACGAATACGAGATCAGATTTATAAAATTCGTTTTTAAAAATTTAATCAATTACCTATGTACTTTATTACCTGAGATTAGGCAGAATACCCGTGAATAGATCTTTTACAGAAAAAAGAACAAGATATAGCCGAAAATAGAAAGGTTCAAACATGATTAGGTACGAAGGTTATAAAGTAAACAAAAATATTACAAAATGAATTTCACAATTCTGACCTCGAATAATAATCAGCTACCCCGAAAACCCCGATATACCAAATTTGGCGCGAATCTGTCGTTTTTTGAAAATTTGGTTAGCCATCTTGGATCCGCCATCTTGAATTTTGCAGAATTGACCTCGGATCCGTGATTAGCGACCCCGAAAACCTCCGTATGCTAAATTTGACGCGCACCTGTTATTTTTTGAAAATTCGTGATATCTGACCCGTTTTTTTGAGGTTAGAAAAAGAACCAACAATTCTGATCGCGGATTCACGTTTGGCGGGGTCTTAACCATATAAATGAACATTTGAATATAGAAAACGGTATTTTTCCTAGCACTTTTTCGTGAATTTTTGCTATTTTTGACCTGTTTTTAGAGGTTAGAAAATTCCTGTGATAGCTCAATACTGACACCGGATTCGTGATGAGGAGCCAAAAATACTACGGATAACATATGTCGCATGAAAAGTACAGACAACTTTTCTTTTTTTGTGTGGATGTATTATTACCCCCAAATTCATAAAAAATATACATATTTAAATTTGATGTTCCAAATTTCTCTGTCATATACAGCTTTTTCAATTTCACTCAGTACCCACGTGATGGTATAGATCAAAATAAAAAAAACATGTTTCCCAATAAAGTACGTTGCGAAATTCAAAAAAGATAAAAAATGGAAATTATAATAATAGTTGTTTTATGCAAAAGAATAATAGTAACATACATGGGCGTAACTACAATTTTTGCATGGAGTGGGTTCAGGGCTGCAAGCTCTATGGAGCCTCTAAAAAAAAGCTCTCTCAATCAGCAACTTGCCGAATAAAATTTCAAAAACCTGAATACGTTTTGATTTCATTCTAAAAAAAGAGGTCATGCAGTCAGCGTTTACCGTTATGCCGATATGATAGACGATAATATTAGATCTTCCCGGGCTTTCTGGGGGGACCGTACACACTCCTGCTCCCCCTTAGCTACGCCCATGGTAATATACCATTTGCGATGTTAACTTATAAAACTTTCTACCAATCCAATCTGCGAATAATGTTTTTTTTAGCCACGAAGATGTTCCAGCTTTGGACACAGTTATCCCTCCTTCAACCACCACACCTTACGATATGCTGGACGTAGTTCTTAGTATTATAGATGAAAGGGACTTTTTCGAAATCATGCCGAAATATGCCAAGAACATCATCATTGGATTTGGTAGGATGAATGGACGAACAGTTGGAATAGTTGGCAATCAACCAAAAGTAGCAGCAGGTAAAGGTTTCCAGGATTAGTAAACTTTTGCCTTTCGGTATTATTCTCAAATCGGTTATTGTAAATTAATAATTACTTTATACTGCAGTATCAAAATAGTACACAGCAGAATCATAAATATATCAAGCCAAAATTTGTACTAATTTTTAATCTGATAAAACAGTTTTCTATATTCTCTGTATAGAAATTGTGATGTGTCGTCGATTTCGCATAGTGTTCCAATATGTTTAGACTGCGCTCCCATTTGGAATATTAAGGAGGTTTATCGGGTACAAAGGTACGTCTAAAGTTTAACGAAAGTTTCTGTAGATGCGGTAGTGACTAAAGTAGTAAGCCTTTAGATTTGGCAACGTTGCACTTGGCTGGCGCGCTCAGCTCGGCGTTCGCTCGCTCCCGTTCGATCAGTCTCTTTGGACACCTGCAAATTTCAAATAATACGCTACGTCGAGAACGCGGCGTTGCCGCAATCACGCATATGGAGGATAAGTTTGTCAACGACAGCAGTTTGAAGGAGAATTATTATAAATTATGTATCTTACAAGTACCTAATCGATTTCTACAAGCTGTCATACGGTTTCTTAGATACCGGTTTCCTATTTATACAAGTTACTGTGGAAACTGTTCGTCAATTGTTGCGCATTCTAAGTGGAAAGACCAAAAAAATCTGCATTCTCATAAGACTGTATTAAATCGTGAAAAATTATTTTATTAATAACTCATCTCTTAGGTATCCAAACTAGTCATAATTTTTTTTGAGGAATTTCTTCATATTAATAAGCTTATATGAATTTTTATATGAATATTTTTTCGTCAATTCCAAATCAGATAAACCTCCTTAAGTATATTGTTGTAAGTAATGGACTTGGATTCAATAGTTGAAGTTAAAAGAACCAGTCATACTGAGAGATAGTAATATCTGTAACAGTAATGAGTAGTTTTGCTAATGCTTGTAACAGTCGTTATCATCAGATAATGAAAGCACTGGCTATGTCCCATAAAAAAAACTGTATACAGGTACAGTAGACCAGTTTTGCATACGATGGTAGAATTGTTGAATACGTATTATAGTATAATTAAAAAAACATACATACCTGCCTGTTGGATCTACCAAGGTGTGTGTAAATTTGAGTTTTCACTAAAATCGACATGTCTGTTTGTATTTAATTAATTTTTTTGAACCCGCTATAATGATACGCCCATAGAATAGCATGTATAGAATGATACACTCCCTACTATTTTGGACGTGGTGTATAGTAGGAAGATTCAACAATTTAATATTGAATATTTTATCATTTCAAGGTTGTTTGGATATTAATGCATCTGTGAAAGCGGCAAGGTTTGTTCGGTTTTGCGATGCCTTCAATATTCCCATTATAACTCTGGTTGATGTACCCGGATTTTTACCCGGGGTAACACAAGAGCACTCAGGAATTATCCGGCATGGCGCCAAATTGCTCTATGCTTACGCTGAAGCTACTGTTCCAAAATTGACTGTGATTACGAGAAAGGTAAATTTGAACTTTCTATATCAATTTGAAACTTTTTGTAATGTAAGAAAAATTAATATGAATTTGGTGAAGTCACATTGTTCAAAAGTGTAATAAAAAAGCATTTGAAAAATAATTATACTTACTTATTATATATTATCGGAAATTATTTACTGTTGACAGTTTTATTTTTATTTTTTATTTATTTCCACTTATGAAAAAAAAAATAATAATAATGACATAAACCCTCACGTCAAAAGGATCAGTCAAGAGTTATATTTTATGAAAGTATTTTATCCTAGTCAACAATCTCTCAAAAAATACAAAAAGAAGAAAATACATTATACTATATTTACTGATTTTAATAAGTTGACGTGTCGAAAACCACTCTGTTATCAGAACTTGGAATGACACTTCGTCTTAAAATAGTTTTGACAGTTTAAGTTTGTTTATTTGTCAGTTTCCACGGACGTTTTGGTTAGGCAAACATATTTTCATACAAAATAATCCTTGACTGATGCTTTTGGCGCAATTTCATTAATTTTAATTTTAAATTTTTTTCCGACATGGCAAAGTAAATAAATTAAAAAACATATACATACTTACTATTTTGATGTCTTAACATTGATTTAGAGAAAAGCAAACTGTCTAATGAACCTAGGCAGAGTGCTTTTTTCTCATTTACAAACTTTTAATCAGTTTGCTCCCCATAAGTATCCCACTTAATAACCGAGAAAAAGTTTCACCATAACACTGAGCCACATTCCGTAACTTTTTACAACCTTAGTGAAACTGAATGATGTATTACCAATTAGGACTTCTAAAAGTTAACGCAAACTTTTGGATCTTTAATTTCGCAAGTAACTTTTCAGGGTTATGGTGGAGCTTACGATGTAATGTCCTCTAAACATCTCCGAGGAGACATAAACTACGCCTGGCCTTCCGCCGAAGTCGCCGTGATGGGCGCCAAAGGTGCAGTGACGATTTTATACAGGGGAAAACCTGATCTGGACAAGCGAGAAGCGGAGTATATAGATGCTTTTGGAAGTCCTTTCCCGGCTGCACAGAAAGGTAAGTAATTAATAATTCTCAATCGTCTTGNTCCGCCGAAGTCGCCGTGATGGGCGCCAAAGGTGCAGTGACGATTTTATACAGGGGAAAACCTGATCTGGACAAGCGAGAAGCGGAGTATATAGACGCTTTTGGAAGTCCTTTCCCGGCTGCACAGAAAGGTAAGTAATTAATAATTCTCAATCGTCTTGAAAGCGTTTATATTTAAACAGAATATTCAAGAAACTAAAAGGGGCGAAGTATCTCAAAATACATACCTTTGAATATACTTTAATATACAGTGAATATACTTTTATTTCTGTTACTAAATATTTATATTGTTTCCATTTTTATGTGTGCGATTTTTTGATTAGGCAAAACTATTTTCATAAAAATAATCCTTAATTGATTCTTTCGTTGTAAGGGGTCGCAAAATAGCCAATAAAGAAAAGAGGAAGAAAATGACAGAAAATCCTAAATATTTATACAGGGTGTTAGTAAAAAAGTGCGACAAATTTCAGGGGGTGATTCTACATGAGAAAATAATGGCAGTTTGCTTATAAACGTATGTCCGCAAATAATTCGTTTTCCGAGGTACGGGGTGTCAAAGTTTTTCTTAAAAACTGACTATTTAATTTATTGCTCTGAAACCGGTCGTGATGTGCAAATGAAATTTGGTGGGTTTTAAAAGGTAGTTATTGAGCATTTTTTGACACGCAATTAAGAATTTTATGTTCATCATTGGCGCGCGTACGGGTAATAATCTCAATTTTTNGTCAGTTTCCACGGACTTTTTGGTTTTTACATATTTTCACACAAAATAATCCTTGACTGATGCTTTTGGCGCAATTTCATTAATTTTAATTTTAAATTTTTTTCCGACATGGCAAAGTAAATAAATTAAAAAACATATACATACTTACTATTTTGATGTCTTAACATTGATTTAGAGAAAAGCAAACTGTCTAATGAACCTAGGCAGAGTGCTTTTTTCTCATTTACAAACTTTTAATCAGTTTGCTCCCCATAAGTATCCCACTTAATAACCGAGAAAAAGTTTCACCATAACACTGAGCCACATTCCGTAACTTTTTACAACCTTAGTGAAACTGAATGATGTATTACCAATTAGGACTTCTAAAAGTTAACGCAAACTTTTGGATCTTTAATTTCGCAAGTAACTTTTCAGGGTTATGGTGGAGCTTACGATGTAATGTCCTCTAAACATCTCCGAGGAGACATAAACTACGCCTGGCCTTCCGCCGAAGTCGCCGTGATGGGCGCCAAAGGTGCAGTGACGATTTTATACAGGGGAAAACCTGATCTGGACAAGCGAGAAGCGGAGTATATAGATGCTTTTGGAAGTCCTTTCCCGGCTGCACAGAAAGGTAAGTAATTCATCATCCTCAATCGTCTTGAAAGCGTTTATATTTAAACAGAATATTCAGGAAACTAAAAGGGGTGAAGTACCTCAAAATACATACCTTTGAAACCAGTGAATATACTTTTTTTTTTGTTACTAAATATATACATAATATTATTTGCTTTTTCTGTGTGAGATTTTTTCGTTACGCATAAAAATAACCCTTGACTGTTCAAAATGTTGAAAAAACTGTTTGAAATAAAATAAAATTTCTCATAATATCCTCAGAATATGTATTAATACTTAATAACAGGTGGTAATAACCTGTGGTCAACGGTAAAAGTTTTTTAGAAGTTTTTGAAATATTTAAAGATATTTAGAAATTTTCGAGGTATTTTAATGTTCTGAAGTATTTTGAAGATTTCGAAATATTTTCAGGTATTTCGAGAATTTTTAAGGATTTCAGAGTATTTGCACATAGAGATTTTGCTTAATTTTTTATGATTTTAGATGTGTTGCGATTGTAACATATTAATGTACCATGTAATTATTTATTTGTCGCATTTTTAATTACCATTTTTTTTATTTAACCGAATATTTATTATATTTTCTGTTAGAAAATAGTAAATTTATAAGAATAACACCTGTACGTGACACAAGTAGATATTTATTTCAAATTTTCTTTTTTTTTTAGTGTAATGGAAATATCCAATTAAGAAAAAAACGTCTCATATATTTCATATTAGTTTTGAAGGATTTAAATGTATTCTAAACCTAAACCTATAGAACCTTATCTTAAATGTCATTGCTACCCAATACCTGTTGGCACAAAACAGTACATACCTACTTTGCATCTACTGACAAAGAGTTACCTACTGATCTGTAGGTGCTATGTAAATATAACTTGTGTCGCATTAGGCGAAATAAACTTTTTAACTAATGGTACTGTGGAAAACAACTACCCTGCGAGGTACAGGGTGATTCACTATATTTTGACCCCCTTTAACTTTTTTGTTTTAATAGTTATAAGAAAATGTGCAATACAAAAGTTGCATGATTTTTTATGAATTTTTCGAAAATAATAGTTGAAAAACAATTGAACTTCAAACAAAATGGCCGTGGATGTTAAATTTGTTAATTTAAATGGAACACCCTGTATATTTTTACATATTTGGATAGGACGTTCTCTGTCGAGTGTAATCATATAAGGTTTGTTGGATCCATCTCTAACGATAAGCGAGAGACTACTAAGAAACGAAAAAAGGGTTTCTTATTAAGAAAATAAGATCTCTTGTAATTGTTAGACCTCTTTCAGGCATTTCTACCTTTTTTTCAATTACGTAAGGATTTACAGATTTAGTTATAATATCTTTTGACATATCGGACATTGATATGGTCTAAAATAGGTATAGGAATTTTAAATAAATCTCACTAATTAGATCATGCAACTTTTGTTTTTCACATTTTTTGATAACTCTTAAAACAAAAAAGTTAAAGGGGGTCAAAGTATAGTGAATCACCCTGTAAGTGCTCTGTCCAGTACCGAATTATACACACCCAATACCTAGTAGGTAAACAGATCATTCATCAACAGCATCATAAGACAGATCAGTTTCGACTTATTGGTTCTCATCAGTATTACTTGCGTGAGACGACCGATGAACGACTTAGTTATTTAGATGTATATCCACCGACATAGGTACTATGGTGTATTGTGAATTTTCTGACGCACTAAGTAGTTTTTGATATATTTCTAATGGTATTTTGATGAATTTTTCCATTTTTGATATATTTTGTAGCTGTTATCATATACGGTGATGAATCTTGAAACTATTATAGGTACTAGTTCTATTCAGAACATAACCGAATTTTATTTTTTAAACTTTATTATTGATTTTATACATTATTGGTTCTTGTTTCCTTGAAAATACTATACCCCCCCCCAGGTCCACCCCTCCAAGAAATTGCCGACAAACGTCCACACGATTTTTTCTGTTGTTCGGTAAACAAGCGGGGAACAAATTTTGCTACAACTCTATGCATGTTCAATTTTTCAGTCAAAATTTCATGGCATGACCCAACTGAAATGCTAACCTCTTCCGCAATTTTTCTGACAGTCAATTGGCGATTTGCACGCACCAGATTTTATAAACGTGAGAGTCACCAATTGAAGTGGAAGGCCTTCCTGGTCGAGGATCATCTTCAATTGACAACCACTTTTAAATCGTGAAAACCATTCGTAATACTGCGTACGACCCAGAGCAAAGCATCATCTCCGTAAGCTTGTTTCAAAAGTTGAAACGTTTCTGTGAAAGTTTTCCTCAATTTCACGCAAAATTTTACGTTGCATTGATGTTCCAGAAAATCGCTCATTCCAAAAATCGTCACTAACCCTTGAACGCGTTGTACTCAAATATCAATATCACGAAAACTAAATGAGATATCAAAAATTGGAGAACATGAGGTTGTAGAGGAGGTTATGCGCAACGTAGTACTGCCAACTGCATATCACTAAATATCTCCATTACCGCGCAATTCAAAAAGTTCGGTTATTTTCTAATTATAATCTAATCCACCTAGCTGGTTTTATCTTAGACATAGGTCTAACCACGGTCTAACGTCACATTTTTCATTTTGAAATTATAGTGGCACTATTTAAAAATAGCGAGTAAAAATTTATAGTTTTTTGCATGTAAAATTTGAGAGAAATGTATCATCTTTCTTAATTAATTATGTGAAAATTTCTGGGAAAATACTTAGAATAGAAGTTATCTCATTTTTTATAGACTTACAATGTATACTTATCTTCAAGGTTTCATTGATGACATCATAGAACCCAGGACGACGCGATGGAGGCTATGCAGGGACCTGGACTTATTGGAGACCAAAAAGCTGACGAATCCGAAGAAAAAGCACGGCAACATTCCTCTGTAAATTCACGGGAGAGGTGTTTGAAAATAAAACACGTCGGTTGTATACTTTCAGTCTTATTTAACAACTTACAACAATATTTTATTACAACTTACGATAGTTAAGCAAACAAATTATTAACATTGTGTTATATGTTAGTGTAAAATATTATTATCAATTTTATCAAAGTGCAATGTCCGTGGTCTAACCGAAGAATCTAGTTTGATTATGTAATACCTTGTAAACTTTTTCTGAACTAGGCCAGGGTGCTAATTCTAATCTACACGTACAATATTATCAGTATATATCACATTGGGGATTTACAGATGTCCTTACGCTACGAATATACAGGGCGCTCCTCGATATCCTTATCTCTAGTTTCTGTAAAACCAGAAACAGTCTATTCGCTGCTGGTTCAGCAACGCCCCGTATAGGGTGCATGCACAATGATACAATACATACAGTGTTACAACATTATTAAAAACTTAGAATTACGCGCTAAACTAAAGTGTAAAAAAAGGTTTTTTTACCGGGCAGCTAAAGAGACGAAATGAGAAACAATTACAGGGCCCTTAATATATGGCTATGTTCTAGATTTAATACACATCCGGTTGACTCGCCTATGACTTCCAAAAATTCCTGTACAATCACAGCTAAGGGGACAACACAGAAACTAAAACACGTAAATTTGGTCAACCGCTAATTTAGAACATTTAGGCAATATGTATCAGTCACGACGAATTATCATTTTTGCAATATAGAAGAACTATACCTAAATATATGATTGTTTCTAAATATACATAATAATCTTATTACTTGTAACAAATATACCTAAATTATCTCAAGTACCTTAAAAAGCAATTTAATTGGTCTTAATAGTTATAGATCGTTGGCCCTTGTCAAGAACACTTTCGAAAAGGGAATTAAGTATCGGGGCATGCCGGGAACTCCTACACTAAACGAACAATTTGGCCAATTTTGGATTCTAGGTGAGACACCCGCGTCGACAAATTAAAATCACGTCCATCTCCGTACAAGGCTTCCCGCAGAAATTAACTCTGATGACTTTGCTAGTTTTAATACTAAGAAGCAAAAAGTTGCAGTATCCTTTTAGGGCTTCAAATACTCGTTTTTAGGCAAAACAATTGAACATTCCATTTATTTTTAAATAAAATAAATATGGGATATGTATTCCCAATCTCTAGACTTAGACCGTATTTTTTAAATTAAGATCGACAGTTTTTTCCATGTTACCAGTACTGTTGAATTTTAACTTTATCTAAATAGGGACGTTCGCAAAAAAATCTGTTTTAACGTCATAAAATGGTTAAAATTTTCCTTATCATTACATTTGCAACGTTTTATAAAAATCAGAAAATAAGTTGTATGGGAAAAACCGGAAAGAAATGTCAATATTTGTTTGAAAGTGCAAGCGTACTCTGATTGGTGTGACGTCACGATGCGGAATCGGCTAGCACGTGGATTTAGTGTTATCTTAGGTTTTCTTTTATCGACGTATGTGTATTGTGTTCTTCTGGGACCTTTTTCGTTTTGTAGTTTATTTAATTTCAATTAAGGTAAGCGGAAGGTTTTCAAAAAGCAGACTCGCATAATACGCCAATTGTGGATGTTACCGTAGTGTATTTTGGCTACATGCAAAGACTTGAAACAAGTTGAATTCAGTGGTGAAAAAAAACGAAACTATAAGTAGTGTTTTATATAAATAAGTAGTACCTACTATACAGTACTTAATCTTCAGTACCTAGTTCATTATCCACAAATGTGGGTGTTACAAATTGAATGTTTTGCGAATTTGGAAACAGGGATGCCAAGAAAGTTTCAAAACAGGTGGCCGATAAATGCAGTTAACACTTTTATCTAAAATATAATTGATTTTTAAGAAGAAAATTGTTTTTCTTCTTACTTTAAACAGATAATATAAAAATAATTGACTTATACCCATACTCGATTTTATCCGAAAATGTCTTGGTTTCTGACGTTGAATTTATAAAAAATTAATATTTATTTCAATCCCCCTAAAAGTGATTTTTTATTTGAAAATTAATTTGAAAACTGCTTTATTTGCGTTTTATATTCACTAGAAAAATTATGTTTCTGTTATAGATGCTCAGTCATTAGTTATGTTTAAGTTAAAAGAAATTGTTCATTTGCAAATTACAGCGAGCATTTATAAAAAACCTTTTCAAGTTTATTTATTGAAGTATTTGTAAACTCATCAAGAAAACCCCACCTTTTCTACGTCCTTTTACACTATTTGAATCATAACGATATGACAAAAGCAGGTAAAACGGATAAAACGGTACTCAAACAAAGATGTCAAAGAACCTAACCTATAGCAGATAAACGCCAACTGGTGGTCTGTTCCGCAAAGTGACATCACACGGCTAGTCTCATTGCAGGTACCGTTTGCTAGTCTCGTTAGCTTCCATGATTTTATTTTTAGTTTATTTTCAACACAAAAATTTTGTAGGCATTACATTCGTTAGTTCGTGTTTCCGAGGCCTTAAAATCACCATTTTTTATTTTCATTTAAAAAATAGCGAACAAAAGTACTCTAATAAAGAAAAGTTAAGACAACACTTAATGTATATATAGACTGTTGCACTGTAAATTGTAACACTTTTACAACGTCGGGCTTCATAATCACACTAAAGTAAACTTTCAATAAAAAAAATATGAAGGTGTTCGAAAGGTGTTGATAAGCTTGAAAGGCTTCTTTAACGGTAGGCAGAATGTATTAATATTAAGCATTGTCAATAATGAGAATCATTGCATAGAAAACTAATAACAATTAAAATTGTTAAAACTTATTGAGAACCTCTGAAATCGGTTGGAGAAGATGTCGGTGGAGTAAGCGGTTCTAAAAAAGTTTTTGTTGTATCAGTGTGATATGTTAGTAGATTTCGACGCCATAAAGTATTTTGGAAATGCAATCAGTATTTTTAATTGTCAGAGGTATTTTTACTTCCATTTTATTCGGAGAACGAGGATTTTTTATTTAACTTGCCTTGTTAGTATGGGACAAATCTTCCAACTGAATTTTTAAAACAGTTATCCCTAATCGATTACGCTGAAATTTTGTATACACGTTTAGTTTGGATGACAATGCATGATTAGCTAAGTGACGTCATTCTAAAATCAATATGGCAGATTCTCAAAGATGGCAGACCAGTTATGGGCGATATGGGTATCAAATGAAAGGGTTTGCTGAGAAGGATACGAAAATAAAATGACGTCACTAAGTGCTTGTTAAAAAAAAATTTTATACATGAACTTTTTATTTTAAAATGAGTTCATTAGACAGTTGAGATAAATCGAAAATAACTCGTAGATATTAAAAAGAACTTATAGGATTTTTTTGTTAGAAAGAGCTTATATTCTTAAAAAATTAAAATTCTTTGACAACGACGTTTTGAACTTGTGATGCATCAGATTATATTAAAAATCTCTTTAAATCGATTTTTCAGAACTATTAGTTTGCCATTTAATTTATCAAAGGTAAGTTTATTATAAAATAAAAAAATATATATCTCTACAATGGCTCATTCTTCCAACAAAATGGAGGCCACATTTCCTCTGAGAAAAATCACTATTTAATCTAATTCCCGGGATATTTAGTGGCGTCGAAATTTTCAGGCTGCTCATAATACCGACTCCCCGTATCTGCGCCACTGGTTGATATATTCGGAAGTAAATTTAGCGAATTCTTACTTGTAACTAGTAGAATCACTCTACCAAGTTTCATCAATCTACGTCGAACGTCCTCAGAGAGATTTAAAAAAATTAATATTCTTTTTAATATTAACACCCTTTTTGCTTATAAAATAATTTGCTCTATCACTTAATGAAGTTCCCGTTTAAAGCCCAGACCACCCTGTATAAATAGGTATATGCGATGCTCAATTGTTTTTTTTATATAAATTTTTTAATCTGTGAAAGGACCTTTATAGGAAACGCTTTTCCTTAAAAAATAAAAAACTTACCGGGGTGATCATTTTCGCCGGAAGCCTTGTACACTAGCGGATATTTCTCGTATACCCCTCGTACGTTTTTGAGACTTACGAGGGGCTTCATAAATGTTCGCCGCCGCATTACGGTACGTTTCAATTTGTAGAAGCAGGTATCGTTCCGTTTATGTTTTCGGACATACTTGTGCATATTCTCCTGTTTCTACAATAAATATCCGAGGTTCTACCTAAAAACGCTCCCTGTCGAAGACCCGCTCATCAGTTTCGGTTGCTCCTAACGTCTAAAACAACGATCGAAGAGCCTTTGGCACTCGTCTCTAGCCCTGACAACATTACTACACCCAGAACGTTCTCCCGCGAGTTCATAACGTCTTTTTCTTCGCGTTTAGCTAGAGAATGGGGGGCAGGAAGGTGCCGGAATCGTTAAGGTTGGTGTCCAGCTTCGCGACGCTGTCGTGTATCCTAGTCTCTATGATTTTGGCCTTTACTTTATCACCTTTTTGTACAATGCATTTGTGGTGGACCCGTGAGTGGCTGCTGCCCGAGGTGCTGCTCGAGGAGTGACTGTCGTGGGCCACGTTGATATCGGAGTGGCTGTGGCGGAGGTCCCCCGGCTTCTGGGAAGTGCCGGCCAGCACCCAGGGGTGCCGCACGGCCTCCTCTGGGGTCATGCGCTTCTTCGGGTTCCAGCTGAAACAAGGCGAGGGTTGTCTTCAACTTCGTTCATCGGAAATATTCAGAAAACGGTTTAGAACAACTGAGAAATAATTTCCTTTAATTTTATTTGAAAGGTTAACTCAAACAAATTGGAGAATATTTTCCAGAAAATCTTATCAAATGAAATCAAAAGATGTTATTTGCTACCAAACATCTAGATATACAGAAGATATCTAACTAATATACAGGGTTGTCCAATAGTATGACAAAGTTTAATATTTCCCTTATTATAAAGATTTGAAAAGAAATATTTTATGGGAGTGATGTACGAGTATTTAAAAAAGTTCACATTTTAAAAATATTTTGAATTATACAGGATGTCCCGAAATTCATGCAACAAAATTTGGTCATAGATTCTTAAGACAAATTTAGGGGACCCGTATTTTTTCTTTTTTGCCAACTGGCCCCCTCTTTCGGAGTTACAGCCCCCTGAAGTGCGCCCTTAAGAAGTCTTTTTTATATTTCGAAATCATGTAGTGCGAGAATCACTAAATTTGGTACACATGGGTTTTATGACATGTGGAATCTCACAGTGCTACGCTTTTTGGCGAGAAACCCTCTTAAGACAATTTTTCGTGGGCCCCCTTGTCTTTGGAACCAGAAATATTTGGTCACAAATTTGACATTTTTAAAAATTATTAGTTAGCTATAAAGTCATTGAATTTAGAAACTTTTTTGTCTCCTGATATTTATTTCGTAAAACCCAATGTTTTTGAGGAAAATGGCGAATCACGATATGCATTCGATTTCATTTTGACATTTTTCTCAAAAACATTGCGTTTTACGAAAAAAGTATAAAGAGACAAAAAGTTTCTAAATTTAATGGCTTTCTAGTGAACTAATTTTTAAGAAATTTAAATATGCTACCAATTTTTTTTTTACTCCAAAGACAAGGGGGCCCACGAAAAATAGTCTTAAGGTGGTTCCCCGCCAAAAAACGCACCATCAGTGTTCACATGTCATAAAATCCCTGTGTACCAAATTTGGTGATCTTCATACAACAGAGTTCTGAGATAAAAAAAGATTATTCTTAGGGGCGGACTTCAGGGGACTGTAACTCCGAAAGAGGGGGCCACTTGGCAAAAATAAAAAATAAGGGTCCCCTGAATTTGTCTTAAGAATCTGTGACCAAATTTTGTTTCATGAATTTCGGGACGCCCTGTACAGGGTGACGCATTAGAGCGGGGCATCTTTATGGTGTTTTTTCTTAACTGGAACATATATTTTTACAAAGTATTCTACAGAAAATTCTCTTTTTAGAGATGTCTTTGTTTTTTGTATTCGATGCGGTGATGCCAAGTTATTTGAAAAAATAAAATAATTTTCGCTGGGACAGGATTCTGTAAATCTATACACTTTGCAGGTACCACCAGCAAATAAGCAAAAACATTTTGTAGGCATGCGGACCAAAGATGTGGACAAACAACAAAATATCGAAATCTTTATAAACTTGTACAGTTTAGCGAATTTCGAAGGACATTTTCTCTATTTTTTAAATGAAACACCCGGTATATTATTTTATTTTTGGATTAATATGTTAATTACGTACAACTTTTGTAAATAATATCCTATACCTAAAAACACTATTTTCGGAAATATTGGCACACCTCTAACAAAAAAAAAAACCTTTAAATTTGCAAACAAAATTAAAATTGTTAAATTAATTGTTTTTATCCGGGGCTAACTTGATGGTAATTAAGAAGATATTAATAAAAACCATAGAAAATCACAAAAAATTATTTTATCTTTTCAAATAACTTGGCATCGCCGCATCGAATACAAAAAACGAAGACATCGCTGAAAAGAGAATTTTTTGTAGAATACAAATTTGTAAAAATATACAGAGTGTTCCATTTAAGAAAAACCACCTTAAAGATGCTCCGCTCTAATGATCTAATATTTTTAAAATGTAAACTTTTTAAGTACATCACTCCCATAAAATATTTATTTTCAAATCTTTATAATAAGGGAGATATTGAACTTTTTCACACTATTGGGCCACCCTCTAATATACTGCGGGAAACGACTACTCTGCGTTCTACATACCCCAACCAGAAATTTCTAGAAAACAGCTATATAGCAATTAATAATCATCTAAAATTAAAAGACATATACGAGTATCTATGTAAATATTTTTAACTGAAAAACCTATCTGACATATTGAATCATTCTTGTCGTTTAAACATTACCTTTAACAAAGATTAACGCGTAATTGCAGTCACGATAGATATAATAATTTTAGCAATTTCTGCATCTTGAGTATTACACTATTTACATATTTACATTACATTATTTAACGATTTGCATGTCAGGTATATGTTTTTCAGTTAGGTAATAATAAGACCTATTTAAATATATAATTTTTAATTTTTATTTTAGATGATTTTATTATTAATTATTAGCTGATTATTAGATATTGCTGGTACAATCTAGTCTAGATAGTCGGGCTTGTAAACTGTGTAGTAGTTGTTTTTCGGCATCATCAGTTCTTCTTGAACGATTTAACCATAGATTTTTCGTATCAAAGAACTAGTCCAATTAAATGGGTCTTTAAATCGCAATTTTGATCAACTTGTCCGAATTTTTGATATGTTAGTTGGAGGTATATACCTAAGTAATAACAATAAATGACAGTATTTTTTTTTCAACCCCCGGCCAGGGGTGGAAAAAGATAAAATAAAAGAATTCTTCAAGGTAACTCAAAAAAGGTAAGAGCCAGAAAAAAAAGATTCTTATAAAAGTTGCAGAGCATAAAATTCTATATAAAAATGGTCTTATCAACTTTTTCTTGTATTAATAAAATTAATAGAGTTAGGGACACTAGAAATTATGGGATGATTTAAGAAATTTAAAAAATCATAACAAGCAGAAAAAATTAATGAATTTTATATATTTTTTTCAATTTACTCTAAAAAATGTAAAATATCTTTTCAGATAAATAGAATTATGTTTTAATTTTTATTAAAAAAGTTCTAACAAGTTCACAAGACGAACGTGATTTTTTATCTTTGTCGTAAAATAAAATTCATTCATTTTTCTGCTAGTTATGATTCTTTAAATTTCTGAAATCATCCCTTAACTTATAGTCTCTCTAAATTTGTTAATCTCAATAGTACAAAAAAAAGTCAATGGACAGTTTTAGTAGAATTTTATGCTCTATAACTTTTGTAAGAAACTTTTTTCTAGCTCTTACCCCTTTTGAGTTATCTTGAAAAACCCTTTATTTTACCTTTTTTCACCCCTGGTTGGGGGTTGAATTTCCGGGTTTTCTTCGTTTCTAATTATCCGATCGTGTCGATCGACCTCTCGTTTTATTCGTATTTCGATTCTCTACAAATTGTTTCTTCATAACATCCATATTGTTTCGTTACTTTAGGTTTTATAAAATAAAAACTTAAAAAATGTTGTTTTTTTTTTTTAGTAGAAAACATAATNTTCAGAAATTTAAAAAATCATAACAAGCAGAAAAATGAATTAATATTTTATATATTTTTTTTCAATTTACTCTAAAAAATGTAAAATATCTTTTCAGATAAATAGAATTATGTTTTAATTTTTATTAAAAAAAGTTCTAACAAGTTCACAAGACGAACGTGACTTTTTATCTTTGTCGTAAAATAAAATTCATTCATTGTTCTGCTAGTTATGATTCTTTAAATTTCTGAAATCATCCCTTAACTTATAGTCTCCCTAACTTTGTTAATCTCAATAGTACAAAAAAAAAGTCAATGGACAATTTTAGTAGAATTTTATACTCTATAACTTTTATAAGAAACTTTTTTCTAGCTCTTACCCCTTTTGAGTTATCTTGAAAAACCCTTTATTTTACCTTTTTTCACCCCTGGCTGGGGGATGAATTTCCGGGTTTTCTTCGTTTCTAACTATCCGATCGTGTCGATCGACCTCTCGTTATATTCGTATTTCGATTCTCTACAAATTGTTTCTTCATAGCATCCAGATTGTTTCGTTAGTTTAGGTTTTATAAAATAAAAACTTAAAAAATGTTGTTTTTTTTTTAGTAGAAAACATAATGAGGGGTATAGATGCCAAACTCACATTATCCATAATTTTTCGAAATAGAGTTAGTGACGCTATCTTGTTCATCGTGTTGAACTACACCATTTTAAAGTTTAGAAGTGGTACAAACTGACATTTTCGTATTTATTTTTAAATTGTGGAATCTGTTAATTGTTTACATTCAAGTCACATTCTTCTATGATCTGAAGTTGCCAAAACTCGCATTATCCATATCCACCAATGAAAAAGCTTACAGCAATAAACCAATATGGCCGACTGCCTAAGGAGAATGTGAGTTTTGCTTCTCTTGTTGTTTTGCTTTCCCAGATGGTGTTTTTCTATTATGTGAAATAATTTGGAGCAAAACTACCATTATCCAAAAAGTTGTATCAAAACTCACATTATCCAAACTTTAATTCACTTTCTTGGAGTCAAGTATTGTTGTGCTGTCATTTCACCAATTAAAAAGCAAATTTAAAGTTCTAATACAAATACCAAAAAAAATTTCAGAGCCGTAAGTCACTTGAAAAGTAAGAAATCAGTTATTCCTTCTTCCTGAAAAATTTTAAAAAGTGGATAATGTGAGTTTTGCATCTATACCCCTCATACAAGCATATATCTACGACTGCCTATTATATGATGGCACAGTCCGTTTGCTATTAGTATTTTTATCACAAAATCATTGATTAGCCTACTAACTTTTCTGGAAATACAGAAATGTATACGCTTTCTTTCAGTATGAAATTTTTAGTAAGACAAATATTTTTTAATGAAAATAGTCCTTGATTGGTCATTTTCCCGCGTTTATTAAATTATTTTACTGAGAATACTCTTGAGAAACTGAGAAAAAGGGTTAGATCAAGTCAAGCATGTAAAGTTTAATCGTATTGCCTCAGAAAATATCAAAGTTGTGATTTATTTTCTGCATATTCGCGAGATCAAAATTAGGTTTGTGCAAATAGTATGAAGATTTGAAGCTATCATATGTGGGTAAATTTTAATGGAAAAAAGTACATAAAATATTGAATGTAGGTATAATTTCATTCTCTTTTTATTTCTTTCTTTGGTTGCTTTGGTAATACTTTATCATGCATTATATCCTTCATAGTATTTATCATATTCTGCCTCGATGGTGAGTGCTTTTTATTAGATATTGTGGGTGCAATTCATTGCTGAATGGGGCTCTATTCAGCAAAGTAGTTGTTTCTCATAATAATTTACCTATCTTATAGTTGGTTTGATATTTAAAGTTATTGACCAAAGAATGTGAATGGAAGCCATTTTATTATGATACTGACAATTTTATTCTCATGAATAAAGCAAAATTTATCTTTTTTGATAAGGAAATATTATTGATCCAATATTGTTTTTGATGCTTAAGGTAGCAATTCAGAACAGAAGCTTATGCTTTTGTTAATTCCAAAGAAACACTTACTCTAAACACTTGGAGATGTAGTCTATGAAGAGTGGATCATTGCAGCGCAGCACCATCGCTAGGTTTTTCGACCCAGGCTTCCGCTTCCTGCCCTTCGAGTTTGTTATGCAACGAGGGTTTCCACGAGAATCTGCAACAGACATCATTTGGGATGAAAATAAATTTAGTTATGGTTTTCTATTCGGTAAGATACATTATTTCAACGTCCCCATAAAAAATAGTTGAGAGGATTTAAGGAGACCAAGGTGGTCATGTTACCAATTCCTATTTATAACATTTAACATTTTTTCGAACAGCTAAGTGCATCTTTAGGAAGTCCAGACGAACGAATCTCGAAAACTTTTCTGGTGTATGCCCAGCTAATAAGGTTAATACTCACCGAAAAATAGTCTCCTTCTTGTGGCGACGGAGATGAGCTCGTCGGGCGGTGGTCCCAGTACCTCCATCAGGCAGGCTAGTTGCTCCACTTCATTTTCTCCAGGAAATAGGGGGTAACCTGTGTACAGTTCCGCCAGTATGCACCCTGGAAGAGGTATTTTATCATAAACTATCACACAACATTAAAATCGTCCGTCCTTACCTAAGCTCCACATATCGATGGCAGTGCCGTAAGTGAGGCCGAGTATGACCTCTGGAGATCTGTAGAACCTCGATTGGATATAAGTGTACACTCTTTGGTTTGAGTAACACGAACTACCAAAATCTATCACCTTTATGGAACTACTGCCTCTCTGTTTCAAGAGAACGTTCTCCTGGAAAAATAAGAAAGAAAATTGGAATTGTGATCCATTATGCCGCAAAGGAAAAATTGTTTGGTACAAGAACAGGATAAATCAATTTTTTAGCAGTTGTTCTATGTGCAATGACTATACTGGTCCCGAGCTTTTCCTATTTCTACTGTCAAGACTTTTACCAGATAAGTCCTTTACTGTCTTAAGACTTAAAATCATCAATATTTATCAGATTTAGAAAACTCAGTAAAAAATGGACTTTGTGGTTTGTACACAAAAGTTTTTTGAAGCCTCACCTTAAAAGTATCTTAATTCAAAATTAATTACTGCTATTTTCAAACCATAACAATCCGGAAGATATTGCAAGTACCACCTCGATACCAATCTACAAGACTAGACTATACAATAACAAATTAAAGTATCTCTTCTCATGAGAACTGTTCCAATTGTATTTAATTTTTTTTACTCCGTATTACGGATAACGCAATCGACTGAATAATGGTAAACTGTGAGGATAATCGTGTTTACAAAGAAGTAATTTATGGCAGATTCGTTTTCTATAAATAATGTCAAGGCCGCCCAATGCGAATTTTGATGAGAACCAGCAGATACTTTCAGTTATCTTAGCTTGTCATGCCTGATAAAATAGTGGAAAGTTACTGTTTATATTGTGTCTCAGAAAGCGTAGACTGTTGAAAAAACGATAAGATTATTTAAATTAATTGAAAAAAATAAAGATAACTTATCACCGTTGATGCTTGTTTATTATAACTATTGTAGGTATAGTGGAGATAACATTTTTGATGTTTTGTTTTATCTAAAATATCTTAAGAACATTTAATTTTTTTAATTAGGTCAGGGAATTTGATAGTGTCAAAGGATAGGAAAAATTAAATTATTTCACGGTTAATTTGTCAATTAAGATCAAGAAAGTAACCGGAGTGCATTATAATTACCCATCAAAGGAAACTCGTTATACTAATAAATCCCTGAATGATTTAATCACGTTTTTATGCATTAATTACGTCGAATAAATTAATAGCATCAAAGGATTGAAGTTCAGGACTTACGCTACTTTCCCTCTCCGATACCATCAGTTTCACTTCTGAATTATTTATAAAATGTTAACAAGATTGTAATTTTCATTGGGAAAATACAGATTTTACACAGAGTATAATACTGTTCATTCTACTAATCTGTTTTTGGCATATGAAATTAATGAAATCGGTGGCGATGCAATTGTATCTGGCAATATTCCAGGATAATTTGAATTTCAAAAGTGCAGTAAATTTCTATTCCGTGTAAAATTTTGTCAACGTTCACTTTCCCATTTTTTCATTAGTTTCGCTTTTAAACTTGATACTAACATTTAAAAAAGCAGTAAAGATGCATTCAATCAACTTTCTGCTGAACTGGTCTTCAAAAGTGTGGTAAATTTATATTGTTTCTGTTTATGTACCCTCAAAAGTCACACTTAGGGTGGACCACCTTAAAGGTCACACTAGTGTGAATTGGGATTTTGCCAACTTTGATGTCTTCTTTAATTGTTAACGAAAACATAACGTAATTATATCAAAACTGGGGTAAAATTTTCCAAGAAATCGAATGATGTAATTAGTTTTGAAAAAAATTAATTTGTTAATAAAAAATGCGATTGAAATAAAAACATTTTTCGAAAAATGACTTTTTTTAAATTCGTTTTTGTTTATAAATACATAATGGCTAGAGAAGAAGTAAAAAAAGGATTTTGAAGTGCAAAGTCTATATTATTAAGAAAAAAATATTCCACATTGATAAAATGATATTATCGATTTTTCCCGGTATCTTGAATACCTATAGGCAATTTTTTAAGCTTGGCTCCTTTTCCGTAAATTTATGTTTATTTTGCAATATTTGTGTAAAAATATTAATTTAAACAATATTATGCATAAATATTGACAAATATATGTCACAATCAAATTATTAATGAAAAAAAATGTTTGAAAAATTATTAACAATAAATAAATAAACAATGATTTAGTCTATTCGACACGTAAAATGACGTGAAAAAAAATCGGAAATTTGCATTTGAATTAACTTCATTTCTAGAATAAATGATACAAATTCAGCCACACTTTTCTCCACACTAAAGTCACACTAGTGCAAATTCGCACCTATCGGACTATCTAATTTAGCCGATAATAACAGGCTGAGGCCTGCTGTGGTACGGCTCGGCTGTTTGGGCTATAGAAGGAATTGTCGTGGTGGGAAACCCTCGGTAGGTTCTACCTGAGAAATGCCAGCTGTTAAAAAAAATCGATGGTACGTATTCGCACTAGTGTGAGCTTTGAAGGTTAACGTTCATTTTATACTTTTTCATAAGTTTCACTTTTGAATCAAGTATTAAATGTAGCGAATGAATTTGTTGATAAACTGATTTTTTTTAAATGCAGTTATATTTTTGTTTTTATTGACTTTTATCAACATTTATTTTCTGATCCTTTCGACACTATCACTTCTGAATTAATTGTTAGTATTTAAAAAGACAAATAAAACAAATAAAGATATAGCTAATAAATTTTTTGCTGAACTGATTTTCGAAAGTGCAGTTAATTTCTATTTCTATCAACTTCTGCCTACGTTTGTTTTTCAATTTTTTCTTTTTAATTAAATATTAATATTTAAAATGATCAACATAGGCCTTAAAATTGTAAATTCAATTTTCTACTGAATTGATTTTCAAAATTTCTACATTACAATTATCAACTTTTTTTTATCAACACTTATTTTCTGACTTTATTTGTGAATTAAATGTTTCAAAAATTCAATAAAATTTGTAAAGATCCAACTTGTGTTCTACTACACTGACATTCGAAACTAGTAAATTTTTACTTTGTCAAAAACAAACACTTGTTAGCTTACTAATTTCCTTTGTTATTGTCTGTCTTAATTACGTATAAATATGTTGCTTTGTCTCATCAGCTTTTGGAAGAGCGGTCTTGTCCCGAGTGGGAGGCACTTCTCTTTTTATCTCTTGGTTCTTCGACCGCGACAGATGCTTTATCAGTCCCGTTCTATTGAAGGGTCAAATACCTCAAATTACAACTTATTTAAATATAGTCAGTTAACAAGGAGGCATCAAACAATCCGTCGATCGCACCGTCAGACAAAATTACAATTAATGTGGGCGGCAACAATTGCGGATAATTAGCACAAAAACGAGATGTTGCAGTACAGAAAGCATTTGGAGCAACTTTCAGTGACGTACGAGTATCATAGAGGAAATTGAAACAATAAAGACTTTGTATACAACTGCAAAAAAAATATTGAGAGGCATTCGAAAGTGTAGCAAAATTTTTTATCAAAGTACGTTGTAGGACCATGTGGGCAACAAAATTCATGAGAATTCTGTGTACCGATTATATGTGACATATATAAAATTCGTTGAAGTGGAAAATAAAGATAACGTATTTAGTTTTCTTATAGAGTATATAATTTAATAGAACGATGTTTGTTAGTCCACAGAACGAAGCTCTAAGGGTGCATTAACCTTATGCGTTAAGAGCAACGTACCCACAAAATGAAAATAAAATTAAAATGAGTTTTTATGGCTAATCTGAGAATACTGGGATTCGAAGCGCATTCATAAGAGCGCAAGGTAGTTTACAGGGTGACGGTTGTTAAATTCAGCGGTTGATATACCCTAAGGGTACAGAACAGTATCCTTTCTTTAGTTTAATTTTTATATTTCTGTCTGAAATAACATTTCATCAATAAAATTTCATAAATAAAACCATTTGATGATTTAGGTACATTCAATGTTATTGAGATTCTACAAAATGTACGAATACCGTTTAAAATAACATACAGGGTTATCCGTTTTCGGAACCACGGCCCTTCTAGTCTCTATAATTTTTTTTGTATCGACGTTGAATTTTCGTTTGACAAAAAACAACTCTTTGTTTGTTTAAAAAAATCAACGCTTTAAATAAAACTATTCTTCTTTTGGTCAGATAATCACAGTTTTCCATGTGTAATATTACAACAAATTGTACAGTAGATATGAAGCAGACTGCACCAGCTGTGTGTAATAAATAGATACATATTTAAAAATTTTATATCTTAGATATTGTATTGAGTGAAAATGGTGAAATGAGACGATGTATAGCTTTTACAAGAGCAGATATTTCTTACAGTAGTATTTAGTAAACAACATGCTGAAGCTCTTCTGTAAAATAATAAAAGTGTGTATATTACAAATATAAAATACAGTTGCAAGCATTACTGCTAAGAAATTTTTCTTTCCATTACGTCGGTCTATATTTGTTACTATACACCGACGCCAACAGACGAAATTTTGCGGAACCCCCACTTTGTCGTGGGATAGGGATCTTTTACTTGCCTAAGATCGTTTAGACCAGGGAGCAACAGTTTTCTCTTTTCCTAGAGATGGTATAATTTTCTATATAAACTTCGCATAAATTTGTACAGCTTCTGTGAATACATCGACATACAGTCCTATAAAAGTGGACGAGCATCCCAAGCCTTCCTTGGATGATTACCAATACAAGTACTAAGCGCAACCAGTGTTTGACTGTTCATATCGCTGACATGAATGCCAAGTTGTTAAGCTGCACTCGCCCTTTTATGAAATTGTTAGGAGCATGATTCAAAAATAATTTTCTTTTTGACATTTTGATCATACCGATTATTATTAGAGAGATTTGATTTCGAGAATCTCAAATCTCGTTAACGTTATATAACGTGAGTAATTAATAGACACAGCATACAAGTAACATATTAAAGTGGTTCTGAAACTCTATAATTTATAACATAACATAAGGCGATTAGAAAAATATCGCAAATTGGCTATAATCAACTCTTCAAATTAAGTATCTCTAAATTATATGTTATAGTAAAAAATTCCTATTTTGGCCCTGATCGGAGCTTCTCGATCCAAGGATACGAAAAACGTCTGAATGAGATCAAAGTCCTGACAATGGATTGAAACTGCTGGTCTACAAATGCTAGGACCTAAACCA